CTTCCCGCGGGATCCGCAGCGCAGAGGCGGGAAAATATGAAAATAAACACAAAAAGGCAACGCAAAATGTGAAAAATAAACAAATCTGCATTGCAGAAGTCTCAAAAGTGAAGATCGCGGAAGCTTCAGCTGGGTTTCACTCTGCGCGCGCGGTGTACAGACACCCCAGAACTTGCAGCTGCTGGCAGAACAGCAAGTTGCAAAACTTGAATTCCGGAGTTTCGGCGGGGAAAAGGTTCATTTTAATCGTTTTAATCATGAGAAGTTGAATTTTTTGTTTATTTTCGTCTTTGCTGTCTTGAAATGGCGCAAATATGAGCCGCGTGCTCGGGTTTCTGCTTCCGTGTGCCGCCTGCGGCTTCGGCGTCGGCTGGGCCACCCGCAGCCGCCTTTCTTCCGCCGCCGACTCCAGCTTCCGCAAAGACTCCGCAAAGAAGTCCTTTGGGAGTTTTAAAAAGAAAGAAAATGCTTTTAAAAGACCCAACAGCTCCCTTTCGGGCTGCTGGAGCGACGCCGCTGGCCTCGCCGTCCTCCACAGACTTGTCCTCAACTCCAACTCCATTCCAGACTTCTCCAACGCCTTAAAACAAACTGCATGCAAACGCATGCAAACCAGGGGCTTCAAAAGCCTCACAGTCCTTTCTCGCCCCCTCCAGGGGGGCCCCCCACCGGGGGGGGCCCCCCAGGGGGCCCCCCAGGGGGCCCCTCAGGGGGCCCCCCAGGGGGCCCCCCAGGGGGCCCCCCAGGGGCCCCCCACGAGCACCTCCTCGGAGGGGGCCCCCCAGGAGGGCCCTCAGGGGGCCCCCCAGGGAGGCCCTCAGGGGGCCCTGGAGAAAGAACAGGAAGGGGCTGGTGGTTGGGATTATGCAGGCGCTGAAGTGGTAGTTATAGAAGAGTGGCTGGACCCTTTTGCTGCAGCAAAAGCTTTAAAAGAAAAAGAAAAAGAAAAAGAAAATAAATTTAATCAAAGAGGGGCCTCTTTGTGGCTCTGTTTGCTGCCAACTAATTGAAACCTCTGCTGCTGCTTTCAAACCCCTTCCTCTTTGCTTCTTTTCGCCTCCAGGACACTCTCGGTTTAGGGTTTAGGGTTTAGGGTTTAGGGTTTAGGGTTTAGGGTTTAGGGTTTGGACAGCGGTTGGCGGGTGTTTTCGTGGGTCTCTGGAGTGTACGTACACCTCAGCTCGTAGCTCTGCTCCCTGTCTGAAGAAGAAAAAAGTAAAAGAACAAAAGTGGCAGCACAAATAAATAAATAAATTAATTAATTAATTAATTAATTAATTAATTAATTAATTAAACAAATAGAAATAAATAAATAAATAAATAGAATTGGAAAGAAACCAGTTTCTTTGGAAACAAAAACAAGAATGCATGCATGCAGAAAACGCCGTCAAATATTTTATCGAAATATACTTTAAAGTGCAAATCCAATTAGTTGCCTATCTGCACACATTATTTATTTATTTATTTATTATTTATTTATTTATTTATTTATTTACATATTTATTTATTTATTTATTTCTTTATTTGTTCATTTATTTATTTATTCATTTATTATTTTGTTCAATTGTATTTGTGAAATGGATTTGTAAATTTGCGCATTCTGATTTTTGAGTCTGCAAATGCGTTCACATCAACTTCCAAAAAGTGGAAAGAAAAATAAAAAAAGACGAATAAATAAATCAATCAATAAAGAAACAAATTTATTTATTTATCTATTTATTTATTTATTTATTTATTTATTTATTTACTTATTTATTTATTTATTTCTTTATTGATTTATTTATTTGCGTTTAAATGCTTACTTTTATTTGGGAGTCGATGGGGTGTACAGACACCTGCGCATGCATGCAGCTGTCTGTACACCCCAGTGCATGCAAATGCTTTTTGTGAAAACTTTTTATTTAATTCTTTTTGTGCAGAATTGGCTGCCACTTAGAAACATTTAGTTCAATTTGTATATTGTTGTCTTTTTGAAACCCTCCAAACCCTAAACCCTAATTTGTAAACCCTAGGACTTCTTCAGGGTTTCTTTTCCACTCTTAAAGGCCTCAGGCCTTCTTTTCCCGCGTGTAGGGTTTAGGTTTTCTAGGGTTTAGGGTTTGCTACTCTTGAGGGTTTAGTAGGGTTTAGGTTTTCTAGGGTTTAGGGTTTACTAGGGTTTAGGGTTTGCTACTGTTTAGGGTTCAGTACGGTTTAGGTTTTCTAGGGTTTAGAGTTTACTAGGGTTTAGGGTTTGCTAGGGTTTAGGGTTTGCTACTGTTTAGGGTTCAGTAGGGTTTAGGTTTTCTAGGGTTAAGGGTTCGCTAGGGTTTAGTGCTTGCTAGGGTTTAGGGTTTGCTAGGGTTTAGGGTTTACTAAGGTTTATTGGGCACTAAAAGGGCCTATAAATAAACAAAATATATTTTTATATATTTTTATTTACATTTATGTTTGTATTATATTTAAATTTATATTTATATTATGTTTATTTTATGTTTCACTTTATTTTTACATTTATTTTATATTTATATTATATTTATATATTTATTTTTATTTTATATTTATATCTTTTTATATTTATGTTTTTGTTCATAGAAATGTTTCAACGGCTTATATTTAATACACATTACAAATGCAAATAAACAATTATGTTATTTATTTATTTATTTATTTATTTATTTATTTATTTATTTATTTATTTATTTATTTGTTTATTTATTTGTTATTTATTTATTTATTTATTTATTTATTTATTTATTTATTTATTATTTATTAATTTATTTATATATTTATTTATTTATTTATTTATTTATTTATTTATTTGTATACAAATGCAGAAAGGCGAAAATATTCTTTTTCTTTCAAAATATTTTAATCTTTTCCCCATACGGCTTCTAAACCCTAAACCCTCATAAACCCTCGTAAACCCTCGTAAATCCTCGTAAACCCTCGTAAACCCTCATAAACCCTCATAAACCCTCGTAAACCCTCGTAAACCCTCGTAAACCCTCGTAAACCCTCGTAAACCCTCGAGGCTGTGTGTCTGTTCGGGTGTCTTACTTGCCTTCGCGTCTCTTCTCTAAATTGTTTTTTATTTTTCTTTTTTCTCCTTTTTAATTTTATTTTTCCTTTTTCTCCTTTTTAGTTTTACTTTTTCCATTTCTATTTTTCGGCTCTTTTGCAGTTCCCCGTCTCTTCTCGTTTGCTTCCTCTTGCATCAGTAGGTCGCTAGCTAGCCAGCTAGCTAGCTAGCTGACTAGCTAGCTAGCGACTAGCTAGCCAGCTGATTAGCTAGCTAGCTGACTAGCTAGCTAGCTGACTAGCTAGCTAGCTGACTAGCTAGCAGGCTAGCTACCTATCTGGCTGGCCAGCCAGCTAGCTCGCTAGCTAGCTAGCTAGCTGCAGCCATGACAGGGTAGCTAGCTGGCTAGCTAGCCATCCAGGAGCTCGTTCATCCAGCCTCCGCGCCAGCCCCAGACTCGGCTAGCTAGCTAGGTAACTAGTTAGCTAGCTAGCTAGCTAGGTAACTAGCTAGCTAGTTACTTAGCCGGGCAGCCAAGCAGCCAGATGCTCCGCTAGCTAGCTAGCTAGCTATTTAGCTAGCCATTTAGCTAGCTAGCTAGCTAGCCAAGCATTTGGCCACTTAGCCAAGTGAGTGGGAGCCTGGCCAACATGCAGCTACCTAGCTAGCTGTCTTCTTTGCCCAAGCTAGCCATTTGGCTAGGAAGTTGGCGAGCTAGTTAGCTCGCCACCTAGCGTAGCTAGCTAGCTAACCAACAAGGTAACTAATTGACTAACTAGCTAGCTAGCCAGCTAGCTATTCCTCCTGCTAGCTAGCTAGCTAGCTTCCTAGCTAGTTGCTCCGCTTGCTAGCTAGCTGGCTAGCTAGCCGTTCCTCCAGCTGTTTCTGTAGCTAGCTTGCTAGCTAGCTATTGCTCTACCTAGCTAACCAGCTATTGCTCTAGTTAGCTAGCTGGCTGGCCAGCCAGCCAGCTAGCCAGCTAGCTAGCTAGCTAGCTAGCTGCGCGCGAAGGCAAGTGAGAGGAACAAGAAGCCCTGCGGGTGGGCGATTGAAACGTGTTGGTCTCGTTTTGAGTTGATAAATAATTGAACTTTGAATTTTGAATTTTGGATTTCCTCCGAGTTGTTTGCTGCGCGTCGCGCCAGCGCTAAAGGAGGAAAAAAGAAAGTGAGCTTTTGCCTTTGAGGAAAACAACGAACAAGCGAGCGCAAGAAACGGGGTGTACGTACACCCCAGCGCCGCGGCGAGTGGCGGGGTGTACGTACACCCCGGCGCGGGGGCGGCGGACGCGCAGTCAGAAGCACCGAAGCGCTGCGAATTGAAGCCAGGAATTCATAAAAGTGTTCAAATAAACAAATGCAGGAGAAAATGTGCAGACTCATTGTCTTTTTCGTGGTTTGAGCTGTCCATACACCCCAGTGACTGCTCGCGGCTCCCGCAGCGCGCCCGCTCCTGCGTTGCGATCCGGCTCGGATTGAGCATATTATATACAAATGACGGAAATAAAAGCGCAAAAACTTTATTATTTTTTGCATTTCCTCCACAATGAAGTATATAACATGCAGAAAAGAAACAAACAACGCATGCTTCTTTCGGCGCTGCAGTCGCCGCTCCTCGGCGGTCCGCGGTTCCTTGACCGGTTGAAGGAATACCCCTTTATTTCGGCTCGTTTTCAAGATTTTTTGCATTTATTTGCATTTATTTGCATTTATTTGCATTTATTTGCATTTATTTGCATTTATTTGCATTTATTTGCACTTAATTGGCCATTTTTTCACCATTTTTCCGCTTTTAAACCCTTTTTCCCGGATTTTCTCCGCTCTTTCCTTTCACCTCAGCAGCAACACACACAACGCGGATGCTGCAAACAGGGCAAGCGCCTGGGGCGCCGCTGCGAAGGCGCCAGAGGCCTGCAAAAGACAAATAAATAAATAAATAAATAAATAAATAAATAAATAAATAAATAAATAAATAAATAAATAAATAAATAACAAAACAATTCAGTTAATTAATTAATTTAATAACAAATAAATGAGTAATGATTGATAATTCAACTTTAATTAGAGGGGTCCCACTATTAGCAGAGGGAATATAAAGAAACTGAAGAATTGCTACAAAACTTTCTGCTGCTGCTAGTGCTGCTGCTGCTGCTGCTAGTGCTGCTGCTGCTAGTGCTGCTGCTGCTGCTGCTGCTGCTTTTCCCCTACATAGCTGAAGTGTTTCCTTATTTCTTTCTTGCTTTTGAAGGGCTGTGTGAGCGCTGGCTAGCCACCCTGATGAAATCAACCGTCAGCTAGCTAGCTAGCTAGCTAGCCAGCTAGCTAGCTAGCTAGGTTTCTAGTGCCTGTTATGACCTGCCTATTATCATCCGCCCGCATCTAGCTAGCTAGCTAGCCAAAAAGCTAGCTAGCCAGCCTGACAGTCAGCTAGCTAGCTAGCTAGCTAGCTAGCTCTGTATTTTTCTAGACAGCTAGCTAGCGCTGAAGCGAGCTACCTGAACCAGTGGCTAGCTAACCGACTACGAAGTAACTAGCTAGCTGACGTCACAGCTGGCTACCTTAAACGCCAGCTAGCTGGCCAGCTCAACAGCTAGCTAGCTCTCTAGCTAGCTAGCTAGCTAGCCATCTAGCTAGCAGTGCAGTTATCTAGCCACGTAACTAGCCATTCAGATATCTAGCTAGCTAGCTATCTAGCTAGCTAGCCACCTAGCTAGCCACCTAGCTAAGCATCTAACTAGCCATATAACTAGCCATATAACTAGCCAGCTAGCTAGCCAGCTAGCTTGCCAGCCAGCTAGCCAGCCCAGCTAGCTAGCCAGCCAGCTAGCCAGCCAGCTAGCTAGCTAGCTAGCTAGCTAGCTAGCTGTGGGGCTTCTCACCAGGGCCTCGACGCTCATTTTGTTGACTTCTTCGACTTTGATGTATTTCTCCAAACTCTCCAAATCGATGCCGTCCGAAGAAGACACAATTGCCACTTCGACCTTCTCGCCCTCCTCCAAGTCCAGCGACTCCACTCCCGACTCCTGGCCCAACACCAAACCCTAAACCCTAAACCCTAAACCCTAAACCCTAAACCCTAAACCCTAAACCCTAAACCCTAAACCCTAGACCCTGAGCTCTGGGCCCGAAGTCCTACGCCTTGGCTTCTGCTAAGGAAACGCTGGAGTCGTCCACGGAACGCCAAACCCTAAACCCTAAACCCTAAACCCTAAACCCTAAACCCTAAACCCTAAGGGCTCGGCCCCAATCCCTTGAGTCTGTGCCGTACCACTTCAACCGCGCTGACGGCCGTCGCTTGCTGCTGCGAGAACTGCTGCTGCTGCTGCTGCTGCTGCTGCTGCTGCTGCTGCTTCACTTCTGTCATTTCGTCTGCAACAGCAAAATACTTTTTCCAAACTTCTTTGTAAGCTTCATCAACCACTTCAGAAAACCTCTCCGCCAGCACTCGGTGGTTTACAGGCTGCGCAAAAACACACTCCACAAACCCTAAACCCTAAACCCTAAACCCTCGTCCCCACCAAACCCTAGAAAAAACAGCATTATACACACCACTCAACAAACCCTAAACCCTAAACCCGCGTCCCCACCACAAACCCTAGACCCTGAACCCAAAACCCCAACAACTCCATGCCTCCTAAACCCTAAACCCCAAACCCTAACCCCCAAACCCCAAACCCTAACCCCCAAACCCCAAACCTAGCCCCCAAACCCTAAACCCCAAACCCTAACCCCCTAACCCCAAACCCTAAACCGTAAACCCCAAACCCCAAACCCTAAACCCCAAACCCTAAACCCCAAACCCCAAACCCTAAACCCTAAACCCCAAACCCTAAACCCTAAACCCTAAACCCTTGCGGACCAGGTCTCCCGTGAAACCCTCAGTGACAGTGCCGTCTTCAGCCATCGTGCAGTTATAAAATTCGGCGAAGTCCACGCGAGGGTTTGGCAGCAAAAGAGTCAAAAACTTAAAAGAAGAAACAATAAAAGCTTGCGGCAAAAACTGCAGCCAACCCACGTACACTTTGTCCCTGAGACGCACGCAAAGGGTTTAGGGTTTAGGGTTTAGGGTTTAGGGTTTAGGGTTTATGGTCTGGGGGTGGGGTTTAGGCTTTGGGGTTTAGGGTTTGGGGATTAGCGTTTGGCGCCGTGTGCGCAGCAGACACAGCAATGAAAAAGCTGCACTAGGGTTTAGGGTTTAGGGTTTAGGGTTTAGGGTTTAGGGTTTAGGTCAAGTAGAAGAGCAGCAGGAGATATATTTAAGCTGCGTGGACTCTGCAGAACCTCAAGGAAGAAGAGGGTTTGCAGCAAAACCCTAAACCCTAAACCCTAAACCCTAAACCCTAAACCCTCAGGCTCACGTTATATCCGTGTATCCTGCCTTAATGGCTTTTTCCAAACCCTCAAGATCAGCAGAAAAAGTGAGTTCTTTATTTTCATCAACAGCAAAAAACCTCAGAGATCTGGCCATAGTTTCCAGGCGTTCCCGAATGGACACTGCTGGTGCTGCTGCTGCTGCTGCTGCTGCTGCTGCTGGTGCTGCTGCTGCTGGGGCTGCTGCGGGGGAGGGCGGGGAGCCGCCTTGCTGCTGCTGCGGAGCAGCAGGTGCAGCAGCAGCGCTAGTCGGTGCTGCTGCTGGTGCTGCTTCTGGCGCTGCTGCTGCTGCTGGAGTTGCTGCTGCATCTGAGCCCCCGCTGAAGACAGTTGGTGCTGCTGCTGCTGCTGTCTGGGGTGTCTCGACAGCTGGCAGTGCTGCTGGCGCTGCAGGAGGAGCAGCAGCAGCAGGAACAGCAGCAGCAGCAGGAACAGCAGCAGCAGCAACCGGAACAGTTGCAGGAGCCGCAGGAGCAGCAGCAACAACAGGAGCGACAGCAGCAACAGGAGCAACTGCTGCTGCTTGAGCTGGGACGGCAGCAGCAGCCTGCGGCTGCTGCAGCTGCGTTTGCTGCAGCTGCGGCTGCTGCGGCTGCTGCTGCTGCGGCTGCAGCAGCAGCTGCTGCTGCTGCTGCGGCTGCGGCTGCGGCTGCACTGCAGGAGCAGTCAGGTAGGCTGTTGTTGCTGCGTTCGTTGCTGCAGCAGGAGTTGCTGCTGGCAGCGTCTGCGGGGCTGCTGCAGCAGTTGTTGCTGCTGCTGGTGCTGCTGCTGCAGCAGCAGGCGCAGCACCGAGGACAGCTGCTGCTGCTGGGAGCGCAGCAGGAGCTTCGTTTTGCTGCTGCTGCTGCAGCAGCGCGTCCTGCGTCTGCAGGAAGACCGTTTCGGGCTGTTCCGCCGCAGCGCCTGCGCCGCTGCTGCTGCTGCTGCTGCTGCTGCTGCTGCTGCTGCTGCTGTGCCTCCTGTGGCGCCTTCTGCCGGAAGGCATGACGCTGAGGAGGGCCATTTGGTCTTCTCCGTCTGCTGCTTTTGCTTCCAGTTGAGAGAAAATGGAATTAAGTTTTGAAAGTTTGAATTGCTGCAGCTGCTGATGAATTGCTGCTGCTCTGTCGAGGAAGCCGTCTTGCTGCAGCAGCTGCTGTACGTACACCCCAAAGGCGTCCACTGCAGCAGCAAAAGCAGCAACAGCTTCGTTTTGGCTGTCTTCGAAGTCCCCCCGCAGCACGACAACGCTGCCAGCAGCAAAAACGTTGCTGCTGAGAGCAGCAGCAGCAGCAGCAGCAGCAGCAGCAGACCCCTCCTCCTTGCCCCAGCCCAAGGCGCAAAAGAGAGAAGTTAATTCTCTTCTTCTTTTCAGCAGCACAGCTTTGATGTCTAAAGAGTGGAAAGCAGCAGCAGCATCTGCTGCGCTTTGCTGCAGCTGCTGCAGCAGCGCAGCAGCAGCAGCGTAGGCTGCTGCCAGCTCCGCGTCCAGCTGCTGCTGCTGCTGCGCTGCAGCGTACTGCTGCAGCAGCAAACTTATTATCCCAGGGGCCCCCAAGTGACCCTGCCAGTTCTGCAGCAAAGTTTGCGTCACTGCCAAAGACAAAATGCAGTTCTTTGCTTCCACAAAAGACCCAATGAGTTTCTGGTACTGGGGGCCCCCGCAGCTGAGCTGGGGGCCCCCTGCTGCTGCTGCTGCTGCTGCTGCTGCTGCTGCTGGCAGCTCGCACAGCGCCGGGGGGGCCTCCGAGTGCATGCAAACTTGCTTGTTGTCTTTTGCTGCTGTCAACTTCGCCAAAAGCTGCACCCAAGGAGAAGTCGGGTGCTGCAGACTCTCCAGTTCCTGCTGCAGCACAGCAGCAACTGCTGCTTGGCCTTCGCAGGCTTCTTCGGACTGCAGCACGGCCTCCTCGTCTTCTGCTGCAGCTTCCTCCGGCCCGCTGCTGCTGCTGCTGCTGCTGCTGCTGCTGCTGCGGAGGGAGAGCTCTGCAGCAGACAGCGGGGACAAAGAGGAGGCCAGCTGCGGGCCCTGCCGCTTAGCAGCAGCAAACGGGACCAGTGGACCACTGGTCAGCAGCAGAGCTGCCAGGGAGCTGAGGGCCAGCAGCCCGCTGCTGCCGGGCAGCCGCATCCTCGCGGGAGAAGCAAATAAAAGAAAGAAAGAAATAAATAAAAGAGAAAATAAAAGAAAAGAAAGAAATAAAACCAGAAAAGAGAAATAATTCAAGTTTTTATGTCCCAAAGGCAAAACAATCCGCCCAAACGCCGGCCGCCCGCAGCCACTACCTGCAGCGCAGCAGCAGCAGCAGCAGCAAACACGCAACAGACACGCAAGTTCTGCTGCTGCTGCTGCAGTCCAGACACAGCAATTCAAAAGCTTTCAACAACACAAATAAACAGAAATGATGCAGCACAAACGCGCAAGAGCGCCCCCGCTTCCCAAGTCCGAAACTTGAATTTCTCTGGGGTGTACAGACACCCGACAATCTGCAGTGCCGCAGCTTTTCAGGTGTACAGACACCCCAGCACGCGCTGCGGAAACCGGCAGCAAAAGGGCCCGCGCTGCGCTGCTGCAGCAGCAGAGGCCAGCAGCAGCAGCAGCAAGGTGACCAGTGGTCCACTGGTGCCCGCAGAGGGGGAAAAAAGGCGCGAAAACAAGCCCGGAAAGCTGAAATATGCTGCTGCTGCTGCTGCTGCTGCTGCTGCGCTGCGAGGGGGGGATCCGGGGGCTGATCTGCGCACCTGTTGGTACAATTGGGAAGCAAAAGAAGGGAAAAGGAGAAAAGAAACTGAAGGGAATTCGCGAGAAGTGGAATATCTTGAAATGGCCGCAGGAACAGCATCGACGGCTTCCCGCTGCGGCGCTGCGCAGGAGCGGCGCGAGCTAGCTGGGGAGGAAAGCAAACTGCCGGCGCCTTCGGGGAGAAAAAGGAGAAATATAAATTGAAAAAGAGAAAGAAAGAAAGAAAAAGAACGCAGAATGAAGACAAAGGGGAAAATTCAAAGAAGTTGAACGGCGTGGGGGAGTGGCCACTGGTGAGCCGCTTCCGCCGCGCTGGTCCGTTTTAGCCGCAAAGCTTCAACAAGTTTTTCCGCGAAAAGATTAAGGCTTTCTAAAAAGCCAAAACGGGAGAATTAAAAGGAGAAAGAAAGCTCTAAAAAGTCCTTCTTTGTGTGCCGCTGGGCGGCGCAGCAGCAGCAGCCTCAGGCTGCTACTGCGCCTCAAATGCGAACACAGCCGTTTCGCCGTTTATTTCCCTTTTTCTTTCTTTCTTTTCTCCTTCAAACCTTTTAAACTTCATTTAAATTCCAATTCCGATTATGCAAACCCAGAAAGCAGCAAAAGCCCGCCCCAGTTCAAGTGTGTTGCTGCGCGCCTCCGCTACCTGCCGCTGTGGGTCAGCAGCGCCAAGCCGCCGATTCCACCATATTTCGCCGTTTTTCTTCCAAATTAATCCTTTTAAATGCATTTTAAACTCATTTCCGAGTTTTTCCTCCTTTTTAATTGGAAAAAGAGCCCCGGGAAAGCGCCTAAACAGCAGCAGCACGCAGAGCTGGTGGCTGCATCGGCGCCACACACGAGCGCTGCAGCAGCAGCTGCTGCAAGTGCCAAAATAAAATTAAAACAAAATAAAACTTTAATAAATGAATTTCTTTTTATTTAAAACCTCAAAAGGAACAAACTTGCGGGCTTTTTAACTCCTTTTTTGCTGCTGCTGCTCGCAATCCATTCAAATTCAACTTTCAAAAGATCCATTGAGTGGAATTCAACTTCACTTCATTCTGCACTTCTCCCCCAGCCTCGCCCTCCACCTCTTTGAAATCACAAATAAAATAAATTTCCAAAAAGACAAAATCTTCTTCAACTTCATCTCCAGAAAATCCTCAAGTTGCTTTCTTACACCAAACAGTTCCCCAGAGCCTGCACAGGCCTCTGGGGGCCCCCAGGGGCCCCCAGTGGCATTCAGGGGCCCTCCGGGGGCCCCCGGGGGCCCCCAGGGGCCCCCGGGGAACGCCAGGGGCCCCCAGGGGCCCCCGGGGGCCCCCAGGAACCTGCACTGGGGGCCCTCAGAAGACCCTAGGGGCCCCCAGGGGCCCCCGGGGGCCCTTGGGGGCTTCGGGGGGCCCCTGGGGGCCCCAGAAGACCCTAGGGGCCCCCCAAAGACTTTGGGGGCCCCCAGGATTGGCAGCTCTTTAAATGCTAAAGTGAAAAGTTTAGAATTGTTTTTGTTTGGAGTTTCCTAAAAAGAAGAATTCAAAAGCTTCTGTCTTTTCAAATTGCAAAACAGAAATTGATTGGAATGTCTTATGCAACTTGCTGCTGCTGCTGCTGCTACTGCTGCTAGTACTACTACTACTGCTGCTGCTGCTGCTGCTGCTACTGCTGCTGCTGCTGCTGCTACTGCTGCTGCTGCTTCTGCTGCTACTGCTGCTGCTGCTGCTACTGCCTCCACTGCTGCTATTGCTGCTGCTACTGCTGCTGCTACTGCTGCTACTGCTGCTACTGCTGCTACTGCTGCTGCTGCTGCTGCTGCTGCTGCTGCTGCTGCTGCTTGAGTCTAGTGCTCTTGTAACAGTTCCCGCTGCTGCCTTGTGTGTCTAGGCCTCTTTTTAGGCTTTGCAAATTATTTTTTGGAAAATAAAATCATTTTAATTTATTTTGAAATAAATAAAAATAAAAAACATTTGTAAGATTAGAGGCCCCCAAGGTTGACTCTGAGAAGACATCAATTTGATGCTCTACAGCATTAAACCCTCAAAAGCACTCCAAACCCTAAACCCTAAACCCTAAACCCTAAACCCTAAACCCTAAAACGTAAACCCTAGAAGCGAAGAGGCGAAAACAAATAGACAGGGGCTACGGAGTGAAAAAGGACTAGTTCAACAAGCAACGCTAAGACCCTAAACCCTAAACCCTAAACCCTAAACCCTAAACCCTAGAAGGAAAAGGGGGGAAAATGAAAGGCGAAAAGTACTGGAAAAGGAAAAGTTAAACAAAGAAGAAACAACAGTCAAGCCCTCGCCAGCCTCAGCCCCGGAAAATGAAATAATAAATAAATAAATAAATAAATAAATAAATAAATAAATAAATAAATAAATAAATGAGAAAGAAAGAAATGAAACAAAAGGACAAAAGCAACAAAAAAAACAAAAATGAAATGTTCAAATAAAGAGGCTTCAGACAAAAGGGCAGCAGCAAACAAATCAACAAGTAGATGCATGCATCAATCGACAACAAATCAATTAATTAAGAATTAATTGACTTACAATTATTTGATTAATTCAATTTAATTAAATAATTAATTAAATAATTAATTAATTAAATTTAATTATTTAATTAAGTTGAAAAGCGAGGAGGAGAAAAAGGATATTCTGCTGTGAGCCATTTCACGGGGTGGAACTCGTGGGCAAAATTCGACTCTTCAACAGTCACCAAACGCCAGCCGGGTCTGCAAAAAAGGGGAAAAAAAAGAGAAAAAAAAGAAAAAAAAGTGGAAATAAATCACAAGACGAAGAGCAGCAACAAAAGGACATAAAAGGGAGAAAAAACAAAAGAAAAAGAGCGAAAAAGCGCAAAAAAATGAAAAAAAAATTACAATTTTCGAATTCCGAAAATGACCGCGGTGTCTGTACAGCTCGCGGGTGTACCGGCGTTTTCCTGTTTCAGATTTTGATTTTAAAAATGTACAAATAAGCATTTAAATAAATATTTATATTTATTTATAATAAATATTAATAAATATTAATAAATGCAAAACTAAAATGCAAGTAAAGACCTTCCGTCGTTCGTTGCGAAGCCGCAAGAACTGGTCACTATTTGGGGTGTATCTCCATCTCGCAGCAAAGAGTCGTAGTGCAAGTGGCCATGAAAAGAAGCAGCAACCTGCAAAACAAATTCAAAACAAAAGTTTTATTATTTTTTATTATTTCATCTTTTCATTTAATGCTTTCTCCACTTCATTAAATGCTCCATTTAACTCTCCACAGCACTCCATTTTCATCTTTTTGCTGAGGGCTCCAAAAGAAGGAACTAACTGCTGCTGCTGCTGCTGCTGCTGCTACTGCTGCTGCTACTGCTGCTGCTGCTGCTGCTGCTGCTGCTGCTACTGCTGCTGCTACTGCTGGATCTGCTGCTGCTAGTGCGTGCATTGTCTCGGCCTTGTTTTTTTGTTTTGAGACTTAAAAGAATATTTAAAAGAACATTTAAATAATATAAGAATATTTAAAAGAACATTTAAATAATATTTAAAGAATAAGAATATTTAAAAGAACATTTAAATAATATTTAAAGAACACTTAAAAAACTCACTTTGTACTTTTTCATCAAAGGCTGAAATCTTTCTCTCCACCTTTTGGGCAGTTGGAAGAGCGACACTGGGTTTTGCTGTACGTACACCCCAACAGCCCCTCTCCGCAATTGTTTGAAACTGCAGTTCTTTTGCATTTTTATTTTAATTTAATTACATTTAAATCTAATTTATAATTAGTTTCTCCCATTTGTTTGAACTACACAAACAGATGCAAACAAAATGCTGAGTGGCAGCAGCAAGCAGCAGCAAGAGGGGTTCATTAACAAACACAAAAACAAGAAGCAAAGAAAGATGCTGAATGTTGAATTTGAATTAACTGGGATAAATAAAATAAATAAATAAATAAATAAATAAATAAATAATTAAAAGGGAGTAGTGAACAAGGAAATTGAGACAAAAGAGCACAAAGAGACGAACAGGAGAAACAAAAAAAGCGAAAAAAAGGTTTAAATTGACAAGAGAGCGGCTCCATTAAATAAATAAACAAAAGGAAACATTTTAAAAGACAAATAAACAAAAAAGAATCAAAAAAGGAGAAAAAAGAAAACGAAAAAGAAGCTGAAGCAGCAAATAGCAATGGCCTACAACTCGCATTTGCCGGACTTCCACTGTGTTTGTCTTGTCATCTGCCTCCCCCCAATTGTCCCAATAAAACTGGTGATGTTGGAGAAGAAACTGCTGCTTAGCGCCTTCAAAAAGATCAAAAAATTAAAATAAAATAAATAAACGAAAATTCGGACTTGCTGCGTTTTCGCGGCGCCGCTGGGGTGTACGTACACCCCAGCGTGCAGAAACCCCTCAAAAAGCAAAACGCAAAACAGCGCCAATTGCGGAAATTAAATTGAAAAATAAATAATAATTAATTAATTAATTAGTTATTAATTAATTAATTAATTATTAATTAATTAATTAATTAATTATTAATCAATTAATTAATTCTTAATTAATTTATCATTTATTATTCATTTTCCTGCACTGGTGGCTGTTCTGTGTTCAAGTTTGCAAATGCAAAACTTTTTTTACCTTTTTCCACTCCGTCTTTTAATTCATTTTCAATCCACTCAAACTGTTCCTGTCAAAACGCAAAAAGAAACTTTAAAAACATTTATTTGAAATCAAATAAATCAACATGAGCTGCACAAAACTAACAAAAGCTTCGCATGCACGTCACAAAGGTGTCCGGCTAGCTAGCTAGCTAGCTAGCTAGCCAGCTAGCTAGCTAGCCAGCTAGCTAGGTAGCTAGCTAGTTAAGTAGCTAGCTAGCTAGCTAGCTAGGTAGCTAGCTAGGTAGCTAGTTAAGTAACTAGCTAGCTAGCTAGCTGGCTAGCTGGCTACTGAGTTAACTAGCGAACTAGCTAGCTAGCCGTGTCATCTAACTAACTCCTGAGACAGACATTCGAATCATTAGCTAGCTGGCTCGCTGGCAGGCGGTGCACATAACCAGACTGCCGCACAGCCAGCTAGCTAGCCAGCTAGCTAGCCAGCTAGCTAGCCAGCTAGCTAGCCAGCCAGCCAGCTAGCAAGCTAGCTAGCCACCTAGCTAGCTTGCTAGCTAAATAGCTAGACAGCTAGATAGCTAGCCACATATGTACACAGACGGCCAGATCGGTAGCCAGGGTCCAAGCTAGCTGCGTATTCAGCTAGCTAGCTAGCTAGCTAGCTAGCTAGCTAGCTAGCTAGCTAGCCATTGCTTGCCTCTGCGAGTTCCTTGGCATTTGTGTCGTCGTAAAGAACAGAAGAATTGGCAGCAACGAATTTGACGCCTCCAAACCAAAAGCTGAAGTGATCTTTTCCTTCAAAACAAAAAACAGAAAAGCAAAAAAAGAAAACTCAAAAACAAAAAATTCCATTTAAAATCCATTTAAAGTGCCAGACTTCGGCAGGAAAACACGAGCCCTCGCTGACCAGCTAGCTAGCTAGCTAGCCAGCTAGCTAGCTAGCTAACTAGCTAGCTAGCTAGCTAGCCAGCGAGCTAGCTGGCGAGCTAGTTAGCTAGCGAGCTAGCCGGCAACTTGGCTAGCTGGCTAGCTGGCTAGCTAGCTAGCTGTTTGTTTGTCTCTGCCATTTTATTTATTTAAATGTTTTAATCCATTAAAACTTTTAAATATTTCAAAGTTTACCCCACAATTGCTCATAGTCGGCAATTGAAGCTGCTGTGGGGGCGTTGCCCACGTCGTGGTTTCCGGGGAGCACGAGCTGTACGTACACCCCAAACGAGCCACAAGTCCGGAAGAATTTTAATTTAATTTTAGTTTTAATTTTAAATCATTTTAAGTGGATTTTTCCAAAAAGAACTCGACTTTGCTCAATCATTTGAGTGGATACTTCTCAAAAAAAGAAACGCCCTTCACCTAGGGTTTGGGGTTTAGCGTTTTTTAGGGTTTGGGGCTTAGCGTTTTCTAGGGTTTAGGGTTTAGGGTTTTCTAGGGTTTAGGGTTCAGGGTTTTCTAGGGTTTAGAGTTTTCTAGGGTTTAGGGTTTAGGGTTTCCTAGGGTTTAGGGTTTAGGGTTTAGACGCACCACTGGCACATCTTTGCTGGGTTTGTCAATGACATCTTTCAAGTCCTTTGCTTGTTGGTCCTGCGCGCACGAGGTGTACGTACACCTGACTTTGCATGCAGCCCCTTTTCATTCAACTGTTCGATTGGCATTTATTTTCCACTTTCCACTTTTTCTGAATTAATCAGAAAATTCCCAAGTTGGAGCTTTGCACTTCAGAGAGGCTAAGCTAGAAGATAAAAGTCGCTCGAAAGGCTTTTCAATTGACCACTTGAAGATCTGCGCCAAACCCTAAACCCTAAACCCTAAACCCTAAACCCTAAACCCTAAACCCTAAACCCTAAACCCTAAACCCTGCAGCCCTGGCTTGCCCGGACGGCTCTGACTTCGTCCTGGAGGCTCTCGTGGCTGAGGGCCGGCACTGGCGCATGCACGAGATCTCCCAAGATGGCAATAAATGCGGGTTTGCTGCTGAGGGAAGCTGCAGCAAGAATGCACTCGGCAACTTGCTGCCGCTCCTCTTCCCAGGAGTTGTTGTTGCGGTAAAGACCAAACTGAAGTCCATTAAACAAAAAGAAATCCAAAAAACCGCAAAAGAAGTGACAGTCGGGAGGCGAAGCACGGGTCACCGGGAGAAGCGAAAGCTGAGGTGTACATACACCTCAACTCCGTGCTGGACGCGGCGCACGAAACACCCGTCGGAGGCTTCCGTTGCCGCATTTCAGTCAATTAAAAGAGGAAATTAAACGCAAATTGAGTTTGTTTTGTTTATTTTCTTTCTTTCATGCAAAACTGCCGACAATTACCTGCGGATCGGCGATGAGCGCGAAGGTGAACGGGCCGGACCACGTGAGTTGGTCTTCCGCCCCCGGGAGGGTGAGGGAAGTGCTTTGGACTTTGACGAGCATTTTAAATGAAGTCAAAAAGAAAAAGACTTTACAAAGAAACAAAACTATCTGAAAAGGGGCGGAAATGCCCCCGGGAGAGCTGACAGGCGTTGCAGAACAAGGGTGGCTGCTGCGGCGCGCGCAGCCTCAAATCGCGGCAAATTTCCCAGCTTTACTTATTTTTTAATTCTTTTTTCATTTTAAACAAATAAAACTCTTCAAGGGGGCCCCTAAGACCCCCAAAGGCCCGCCGACTGCCGCTTTTGGGGGCCCCACGAAGGCGGCGGCGTCTTCGTGTGTTCAGGATTCAGGTGTACAGACAGCTTCGCCTCCCTTCCCACACCCTCCTTCGCAAAACAGGACTTTTAAAAGTGCGTCAAATTAATTTATTTACTATTTTCAAGTTAATTTATTTACTCTTTGAGTGGGATATCGCCGAGAGCTGCGCCCACTGCGCCCCAAGGCACAGCCCACAGTGGCCAGCAAGTGAAAACGCAGCAAACTGCTACCCGCAGTGCTGCTGCTGCTGCTGCTGCTGCTGCTGCAGCTGCTGCAGCAGCAGCTTCTGAAGGGCAGTCGGAAAGCAGCTGCGATCTTGGCGTGTCTGGGGGTGGGGCTGCGGTGTACGTACACCTCACGCGGGTGCACGAGGGGAAGTCCAGAGTAGATACACACGAAGTGTTCGAGTAGAGAAAAAAAGAAGAAAAGTTTCACATTTTCTTTTGCTTCAAGTGTCTCTGGACTGCAGCAGAGCAGCAGCAGCAGCAGCAGCAGCAGCAGCAGCAGCAGCAGCAGCAAGGGGAGTTTAGCCAGGCCTCGAGACTTTGCTTCATTTCTGTTTGCGTCTTTTTGACTTTTTAATTTCATTTCTAATCCGAAAACAGAAAAACAGAAAACAGACTTATTTTCTCCTGAGGAGTGGACCACTGGTCACCATTAGTTTGCAAAAATTCATCTTTTTATTTTTATTTTTTTAAATTCTTTTTTGCTTCGAAGCAGCTCAAGTGACCAGTGGTCCAGCGCTGCGGTGTACGTACAGCTGGGCTTGCTGCGCTGCTTCCAAAATGCCAAAAAATATGCACAACAATAATAATGCACAAACGCTTCATCTCCTAGCAGCAGCAGCTGCTTCTGCTGCTGCTGTTGCTGCTGCTGCTGCTGTTGCTGCAGCTGCTGTTGCTGCTGCTGTTGCTGCTGTTGCTGCTGCTGCTGCTGTTGCTGCTGCTGCTGCTGCTGTGAGCGCAGCAGCGACGGTGCAGCTCTCTCTCATAAACTTTTTAATCTTTATTTGCCGGAGAGACTATTTCTGAAAATGCAAAAAAGTGTTTTTAATCTTTTTGAGAAAACTTTGAATAAACCCCTTGGCATTTTTTGCTTCTGTTGATTTAATTTTTCTTTTTTCTCATTTTCTCTTTTAACCTGGTACTCACATTGCCCTCATTTGTTTTCTTTTTTATTTTTTATTTTTTATTTCTTCCAACTTTGCTGCTGCTCATTTTCTTTTTTATTTTTTATTTCTTCCAACTTTGCTGCTGCTCATTTGCTCTTTGGCGAGCTGTCTGTACACCCGAGAACAGTCACGCAGCAAAAGCAGCAGCCACTTGTGGGGTCCAGGGGCTCCAGTTTGCTTTTTGTGCTGCTGTTGCTGCTGCTGTTGCTGCTGCTGTTGCTGCTGCTGCTGCTGTGGCCGACGCTGCCGCTGTTGCTTTGCCTGCTGCTGCTGCTGTGTCTGCTTTGCTGCTGCTGCTGCTGCTGCTGCTGCCTTGAATGCATATTTCGCGGGTGCAGCTGAGGCTGCTGTTGCTGCTGCTGCTGCTGCATTTGGCCGCACAGCTTTCGCTGCCATTTCCTTTGCGCAGAGCTACGCAGCAGTTGCTGCTGCTGCTGCTGCTGCTGCTGCTGCTGCGGCCCGTTACTGTTCTGCTGCTGGACAAAAGACAATAAAATTCGGAGATGTTGGCATTGGGTATCTCCGCTTTCCCTTGGGAGGATCGGGCTGCTCAAAAAAGCAAAAAAATAAAAGTGACAGCGTTGTGGGGTTGCAGTGTACGTACACCTGAAGGGCTAGCTAGGGCTAGCTAAGCATTCGCCTATTTGCGGCCTTAGCTTTCATGCTAGCTACCTAGCAAGCCAGCTAGCTAGCTAGCTAGCTAGCTAGCTAGCTAGCTAGCTAGCTAGCTAGCTAGCTGGCTAGTTGCTAGCCAGCTGGCTAGCCACGTGAGCGAGGGAAGGTCGAGTTTGCTGGCTAGCTAGTTGGGCAGTTAGCTAGCTACAAATCCTCACGCAGCTAGCTAGCTAGCTGGCTAAGGCTATTTGAACCCGCTAGCTAGCTGGGTAGCTAGCTAGCTAGCTAGCTAGCTAGCTAGCTAGCCACCAGCTCGCTAGCTGGCAAAACAGCCAGCTAGCTGGTCAGTGCTGCAGCGCCGTGCGTGCTGGAGCGCAGTGTCTGTACACCCGAAGCCGAGCGGCTTGAAGTGTCTGTTGATCTTTTTGGAAAGTTGAATTAGAAATAATTAATTTAAAAGAATTAAAAGAAGAATTTGAAATGATTGATTTAAAAGAATTAAAAGAATTGTGAAGTCCTACGGGAATGAACTGGGGCTGAAATATGTTGGAGGTCAAACTCTGCAGGTACTGCTGCCGGCTGTAGGTGAGCGCGGGGGCGGGCGGGGGGGGCCCCTGAGACCAGGGGTAGAGTCCTGCTGCTGCTGCTGCTGCTGCTGCTGCTGCTGCTGCTGCTGCTGGGCATGCAGAGGCGAGGCGGAGGCGGCTTCTCCGGCCCTGTGTGGGGCGCTGCAGTGTCTGTACACCTTGCGCGTCTGCGGGGTCGCCAGGGGCTTCAGCAGCAGCAGCAGCAGGTGCTGCAGCGCTAGCTGCTGCTGCTGCTGCTGCTGCTGCTGCTGCTGCTGCTTCCTGCTGCTGGTGCGCAGAGGGCTGCAGCACTTGGTACATTTCGTTCGACTGCAGGTGCTTCGGGACCTTCTGAGTTCTGCTGCAGTTCTTGCCGGGGGCGCAGCAAGGAATGTGCATGCAAGTGCTGCTGCAGGTGCCATCAATGATGCTTTTGACAGTGCCTGCTGCTGCTGCTGCTGCTGCTGCTGCTGCTGCACTGCGCCGCGCAGAGGCCGGCGGGGGCCCCACAGGAGCCATTAATTGCTTCCTTTCTAAAGAGAAAAAAAATGGCCTTGGCTCCATTGGTTTGAGGAGCGCAGCGCATGCAGAACGGGGTGTACGTACACCCCAGCGCCCCAGCTCGCAGCCACAAAAACAGAAACTTGCAAAAAAAGAAACTCAAGTGCAGCCCCGGCTGCCTTGTGTTTGTCTTGGATTTATTTCTCGATTTTACTTCTTTTCAATTAAATAAAGTTAATTTATTTCTCGATTTTGCTTCTTTTCAATTAAAGAAAGTTAATTGAAAAGAAGTAAAATCGAGAAATAAATCTGAAAACAAAAAAAGAAAGTCGCAAACTGCAGCTCCGCACACTGGCGACTACAGAAAGCTCTGTAAGGAAGCAACTAATGGAAGAATTAGTTCTTTCTTTTTAATCTTTTTTCTTTTTTTTATTTACTTTAAGGAAGCAACTAATGGAAGAATTAGTTCTTTCTTTTTAATCTTTTTTCTCTTTCTATTTACGAGCTTATTGCTGCACTTTGCTTCGCCCACAGTTGCCTGTTTCCAGCACTTGCAAACAGCCTTTGCAACTTACGCTGCTGTGTCTGCTCGTTTTTCGAAAAAGTTGAACACAAATGGTCTAAAAGGACATATTTCTTTTCTTTATTCAATACTTTCCCAATAATTGAGTCTTTAAGCCAGTGGCAAGCAGCAAACTTTGAGAGATCCTGCAGAAATGTCTGAGTTCCGGCGTGCTCCAGTGCTGCGGAAACAACTGAATGGGTCTTGAGGCCTCTGCTGTACAGACAAACGGGAAAAGAAGCTCTCGATTAACCAATTTAAACCTAATAAATGATTAAATTCAATTAAAGTTGCAAATTTACTTTTTAAACGGAAAAATCAAGGGAAGATTACGACCATTTCAGCAGCCGCTGCTGTTCGCGAGCTGCGCATGCGGTGCTGGCGTAGGCTTTTCCACTTCATTTACTGGAGTTTTAACTTCAAAAAAGTTCTAAAACACTTTTTTAATATGCTTTATGTTGATTTTTATCTTTTTTATTTGCAAATCTCCCGGAAAACTGCAAAAAATGCGCTTCAGAGCAACGGGCCCGCCAGCAGGTGACCTTCGGGTGTACACTGGGGAGGCTGGCCCGTGGGTAGAGTCAGTTTCTTTTGCTTCAAATTGACTGTGAATAATAAATTTTTGTCTTTTTTATTACAAAATAAATATAAATTATTATTATTAAGTGCTTTATTCCCCCATTTCTTTCCGCATATCGCCTAGCGATGGCAGCCGTGCAGGGCCAGATGCTGTTTTGAATACTTTGCCAGTCACACCGCGGCGTTATATGAAGCAAATAAGCTTGCATGCAAAAATTATAAAAGTATTTACAATTTAATTATAAAAGTATTTACAATTTAATTGGATTGAGAAACTGTTTTCATCGATTGTTCCGCGCAAACAGGGAGGGTCACCTCGCTGCTTTCTGTTGAACTCTTTTCGGAGCCATTCAATACTTGGCTCATTTCGCTCTTTTGCCGCTGCTTTCTGGATTTTTCTCTTTTTGCCGCATATTTCGAGTCTTTTTATATTTATTTGGTTTTTTATTTAAGTTGCATGCAGACAGGGTCACTCAGCAAAGTGCCAAACTCTTTGAACTTCAGCATTCAGCCTTTTTTTGGGTCTTCGCCTGAAACTATCTGCATAACTGGCACGTTTGTGCAGCCACAAACTCCCCAGCCGTTTCAGTGGCATTTATTCATGAGAAAACAAAAATAAAATGAAAAAGAAAAGCAATTAAATGCCAAGAAAGCGAAAGAAACAAGCTGATGGCTCTTTCACCAAAACTGCGAAAGCAAAGGAACAAATTCGTTCTTTAGCTGCTCAGAAAGCAGCTGCGAGTAATCAAATTAGAAAACGAATTCAAATTATTTGCAGACTTCTGCATGCACAAATGCAAAGTAGAAAACATTGAAAGCAATTAATTCTTAAATTCCAGATTAAAAACAAAAACAAAAAACAGACACTCCTGGCAATTTCAAATGTGCAGAAAGTTCAGAAATTGGCCAACTGGTGATCTCCCAAAAGAACCTCGACCAGTGAAAAATAATAGAGCAAAACGCGAAGCAGAAGAAGATGGAAATTTTACTGAAGTCATTTAAATGAAAAAGGAGAAATAAATAATTACATTAAGCGAATAAAGCTGTTCTTTAGAGGAGCCCCGACTCTTCATTTGCAAGACAGCTCCCAAATGAACTTTTTTTTCCGATTTTGAATTCAAGAAAATGCAAAAAACAAACTTGGGAAATCACAACTGCTGCATCCCATGCCTCTTTATTTATTATTTCAACTGCTAAGCAAATCAACAAAAGTACAAATAAACGTCTTTTGCGGAAACTCGGCGAAAACAAAAACAGAAACATCAACTTTTGTGACCTTTGCATGTTTAATTTCACCGTTTCTGGAAATAAATGTGAAAAAGTGAATAAAGAGATTCAAATATACTTCTTTTTAAGTTACCACGAAGAAACAAAGGCAAAAAATTCGCAAAGCTGCAGCAAGTAACTTTGTGCACAGCAACTCGTGAATCTGTTCAACAACTTGAACTGAAGCAAATAGTCATGTTTTTTTTTCCATTTTTGAACAAAAGGAAGAATTAAAATGCTATTTTACAATAAAATAAACAATTACTGCCTCATCAGCAATGCAGATTTAGCAGGAGAGTTGCAAACAGACAAAAAGATGAATAAAAGAATGAATCGGAAACTGGCAAAAACACGGAAACACCGAGCGGAGAGAGGAAAAGATGCATGCGTTTGAAGGATAAATCAAATCAAATCAAATCAATGAAAATAAAGGGAAAAAAAAGGAGAAAATAAAAGAAAAGAAGAAAAGCAACAAACTTGAATATAGGCTGAAATAGCCCGAAGAGGAAATGCCCGCACGCCCGCAGCAGCACGCGCCCAAGGAGCCAAATGTGCATGCAGCCAGACCGCCAGGAATAAAATAAATAAATTAAAAAGTATTATTATTAAAATGAAAGAGAAGGCGCGAAGAAAGATGCTGGATCCTTGAAGATCCTGCAGTGTTCATCTTTCATCTTTTGGGAAATGGCGTGCGAGCCAGAGGCAGCAGCTTCTTTGCCTTCTGCCTTCTGCTGCTTTCCTGGCGAGTTTATTTGTGCGTCTTTTTCTTGAATTAAATTCAATGTGCAAATGTGCTGCATTAGATGAAGTTCAGCTTTCAGTTTGCTGCTCGTGCTTCTGCTCTTGCTGCTGCTGTTTGTGCTCAGCTTCGGCTCTTCTCTTGGCTTTATTTCGATCTACTTTGCAAACTAAAACAACTAATTAATGCACATCGGAGTCCGCGGCCCCGTTTGCTGCTGCTGCTGCAGCAGCGGCTGCTGCTGGGCAGAGAGCAGCGCAGCAGCGCCGCCCCGCTGCAGCGCCCGCTGCTGCTGCTGCAGCACATCGGGAACAAATGCAGAAAGTGAAAGAGAAAAGGAAAAGAAAAACCAACTACACACTCCGGAGTGGAAAAAGAGGAAAAGAGAAGTGCAGCAAAAGCCCTGCTGGCTGAAAGAGACATGTACATGTACCCCCAGGGACAGCAACTCCTCCTCTTCGGGGCTCCGGGTAATCTTTTTGTTCTTTTGAAGACAAAAACCCTAAATAATAAATCTATTTATTAATTTGGAGGACTTGGAAAGAAGTAGAAAGCGCGGAGGGCGTCGCGGGCGCCAGACACGCGTGGCAGAAGCAGCAGCAGCTCGACTATGCCGCTGTTGCTGCTGCTGCTGCTGCTAGCAGCAGCAACAGCAGCAGCAGCGGCTGCTGCAGCTGCTGCTGTTACTAGTCGGTTGCGAGGGGCAGCGGGGTCTTGGAAGTGCTTTTGTTTCCGCGTTTTTGACGAGAAGTAGAAATAAACGCAAGAAATAGTAATCATTTTGTAATTTTACCTGCCTATACACCTGAGTCCGGCGCCGAACGGCTCCTCTGCTGCTGCTCCTTCCGTGGCCGCAGGGCTCTGTGGGCATCTTTGCATGGATTGCCTTTTGCTGCTGGAGAGAAGCAAAATTCATTTCTTTTCTTTTCTACTTTTCGCATCTACTCAACAGAGCCAACCCGGCGCTGTGCCCCTTACAGACACCCGCCTCCTTGCAGCAGCAGCTGCTGCTGCTGCTGCTGCTGCTGCTGCAGCATTTCATGCATCTTCTTCTGGCCCTCTATCTGCCCCTTTAGCCACACTGCTCCTCGCACTGCCCATTTTTGCGCTACATCTGTAGTTGCATACTCAGTTGGCGCCGCCGGGCTGCTGCTGCTGCTGCTGCTGCTGCTGCTGCTGGAGGCCCCTGCTGCTGCTGGAGGCCCCTGTTGCTGCCGTGGGTTGCAGCGCGAGCGGGCACAGCTTTCTGCTGCGCGGAGAGAGCAGCAGCAAGTGTCTCAGCCGCATGGCTGGACTTCCAGACTGAGGCCTGCGTAGCTTTCCTGTGCAGCAGCAGCAGCAGCTGCAGCAGCTGCAGCGGCTGCGGCAGCAGCAGAGCCACAAACTGCGGCGGACTGCAGCAGCAGACCTGCCCCAGACGCGCGCGAGCGCAGCGAGCAGCAGAAGGAGCAGCAGCAGCAGCAGCAGCAGCAAAACAAGCACTGCAGCAGAGAGAGCAGCAATATGTACCAACCCAGGCCGGCAGCGGGAGTGGGGCGCCCGCGCCCCGCTGCGAGCAGCAGCAGCAGCAGCAGCAGCAGCAGCAGCGCGATTTCAGCTGCTGCGCCCCACAGAAGAAGCTTTGCTGCACCCACTGGGGCACTGGCCAGGGGGCCCCCCGGGGCCGGCAGCACAGC